ATTATTTCAATCTGATTTTTAAATTGCAATCATTCGTATATAAACGAAAATCATTGGGTTTCAATTCTACGATTAATTAGTTACAACAATGTATTATTATAAAATACTTTTTTTTCAGTAAAAAATCTTTTTGTCTCTGTGATTTTGTTTAACAGTTAAATTACACAAGAAGTTAAATAAGCTCTAAATTCCCTCTTACTTTCGTCATAGTTGATTACTATATAAACAATATTTGCAAGTTTTCTTTTTTAGCAAGTTTTGATATTAGTAACTTAGAATTTGGAATACAGAGTTTTTTTTCTTTTGAACTTTTGCAGCGATGTAAATGCAAATTGTATGTTTTATTCAAGAGATGCGTAACTGAATTAAGTAAATATTTAAAAATAAAAGCCTTCTACGCTAATAATTTTTCATAAGCTAATTTGAGTTAAATTTTTCATCATTTAATTTAATAGTTATATCCAAAATTTTATTTAAAAATGTTCATTCCACAATTCCCGGTAAAAACGTTATGTTTGTTATGGAAGTTTTAATAACTTAGAAACCAAACATATTTCGAATTTTTATTACTCCCAAGAATTAATTTTTTAACCATTAACGTACATTTCATTCATTTGTTGGGATAGTCATTTTATTTACATTATTTCTTATCAGGCAGAAAGAGAAATTACTTTGAATAACTTTGATTCAAAATTAGAACTTAATAATGGTATATTTTTTATCATAGCAGAGATGAAATATATGTTAATAAATTAATAGTTTTTTATTGTTTCTCTAATTTATAGAAACTGCAATACGAAAAATCTAACTCGAAGAAAAATAATTTTTTGGTATGTTTAATAATATTCTTTTTGTGTTTGAGGCCCACAACCAGTTTTATGTATCTCTATTCAATACATATTTTATATAAAGTGATAATTAAATATGAAAATAACCACCGTACGTTTTCGAATTACTGTTCTGAATCCACTCCGCTGCTGTGGATTTTATAAAGTACTACCTGAATACCGATTCATCGTACTGTGAGAAAAGAAAAAAATAATCTTTTAATCAGTGTAGAACATATATGGCAACGTTACTTTTAAAAAGTAACGAATAAAAGTACAAGTATGTTTAAAAAAAGTAGCGAGTAAAAAGTAAAAAGTTCTTATTTTAAAAAGTAACGAGTAAAAAGTACAAGTAAAAGTACAAGTACTAAACAAAAAAAGTAACGATTTAAAAGTACATTTCTAGGAAATCGAAAATTCAAAGTAACCTAAAATTTTATTGAATAATATTCTTATGTTCTTTAATGTTTTTGCAAAATTGTTGTTATTTATTTAATTATTTTTAATTTTGAAAGTTATGGACATTAATTTATTTTTAAATTCGGAAGAATATTATAATATAATTTTATAATATAATCGTATAATATAATTTTAAAATCAAATATAATTTTAATATAAAACTTTTTATGGATTTGCACGAAAAAGAAATTTTATCTATTGATTTTATTTTTTAGTTTATTATTTTTATTTGTTTGAATTGCCATTGATTTAAAATTGTTTTACTCTTTAGAAACGCGTTTTAAAAGCACAAACGTAAACAAAGCAAACAAGGGGTTTCAGATAGCTTTGTGATCTGTGAGCTAGTAAAAAAAAATTGAATGTGCAGTATAAGTTGAAATAGACGGATTTAAACACGAAGTTAGCTGTGAATGCATATATATTGCACATTAATTTTATGAGTAAAAAAAACATAAGTATTTTTCTTTAATTTAATTTTTTTAAAGCTTACCGAGTTTTAGAAAAAAGTAACGATTTCATTCGATATTTCCGTTTTAAATACTTGTACTTTTTCCCTAAAAAAGTAACGAAAGTACAAGTAAAAGTACTAAATTTAAAAAGTAACGAAGTACAAGTGAAAGTACGTACTTTTTACTTGTACCGGCGGTACAAGTAACGAAAGTAAAAGTACTGCCATATATGGTGTTGAAGAACACTACCAAACCATGCACAAAACTGAAAGACCTATGGCAACACAATTAATAAATCTAAAATAATTCCAATTTTTCTTATTTATTATTATATACTAATCCTTCCCTGTGTTACGCTATTAGATTAAGCAAAAGAAGTTTTTAGTAGGTCACTCCAATAAAATAAAAATGAACTGTTTTCGGTATCATTTAGCATGAACTGTAAGGGTGGTCAAAATTTACCACATTCTATTTTTTTCGCTACCTGTACCATTCAAGAAGACGTAAAAAACCCTCTTTCCATTCCACTGTATTTGATTGGTACTGATTTGATAAGTATGACACGTACTATTGTAATATATATTGTACTATTAGTATATTTGGTACCTATTAAAACTGTGTAATTTACCAGTAGTTCTTATTCCCAAAATAAATTAATAATTATAGGCGTCAATAATCGTATGGTAATTTTTTATGGTTCTTAATAACGAATTCGTATAATTTCTTCTCCAGTTTTGCTTTTCAGTACATTAATTGTTTTTTTAGTCTTAATTAGTACCTATTACTAAAACTAATTGAGCATCATTGGAGTAAAAAATGTCATGGTGATTTTTTACTTCTCTCTAAAACTATTTCTTTAAAAAATAGTTGGGTGATTTTTCGAAAAATAGTTTAGTGATTAAATAAAATAGAATCATTATTTTGCTTTTAAGTAGAAAGGCTATATTTTAAATTTTAATTATCATCTATAAGAACTGAGGTGGAAAAGGATAGAGCATTCGCTTTCTAATTAGGTGAATGGGGTTCGAATCCCATCAATGGTTGGTCGATACAAATTGCGCACCCGGCTCGCATCGACCTCAGTGCTGACATACAATATGCGAAATGATGGACGTGATTTTCCTTTCCATGTAACGCAAATGCGGATTAGCTTCGTCAAAAAGTCCTCCACGAAGGTAAATTTATCTCAATACTTGATCCAAGAGTTCCCTTGTCTTCTTAAATGGGTTAAAAATTGCAAGGCTGTGCAGTAGAATATTTGAAGTCGTAAATTAACTTGGGTCGGCTGTTCAACGACGGTTATAAAATAAAATAAAATTATCAGCTATTGCAGACACCAAGGACCTTTAATAATAGTATGGTGATTTTTTTTACGGTTTCACAAAACGAATAAGTACCTTTTCACGAATAAAGTTGTTTTTTAGGACATTTTACCAAAATTAATCTAGCGTCTTTGGCGTTAATAAATAATAGGAGAGCCGCGATAGCTCAGGGGATAGACCGTTCGTCTTCCAATGAGGTGAACCGGGGTTCGATGGCTGGTCGATACAAATTCCGCATCCGGCTTGCACCGACCACAGTTCTAACATGAAATATCCTTAGTGGTAGACTGACTGATCATGGGTTAGAGTCCCCTTGCCGTCAGGCACGCCGTGGGAGGTTCTCGTGGTCTTCCTCACCATGTAACGCAAATGCTGGTTAGTTCCATCAGAAAGTCCTCCACGAAGGCAAATTTTTCCCAATACTTGATCCAGGAGTTCCCTTGTCTTCTGGATTGGGTTCAAAATTACAAGGCTTCGGAGTTGAACATTAGCAGTCGTAAACCCAAAAAATGGGTCGGCTGTTCAACGACTGTTATAAAATAAAATAAAAATAAATAATATGACGATTTTGTACGCTTCTCCTAAATATTCTCCAATAGTTTTGCCATTTAATACATAGTTTATTTTTTTCAATAAATACGATTCAATTGTACGATTCAGAGAGGGACAGCACGAAGATGAATCTAGGGTTAAGGTGGGATTAGAACCCGCTACACCCACGCTAAAGATCGTTAGGATGGTGATACTATTTGATCAGATACCCTTGAATTATATAATGTACTTTGGAAAAGAAGAAATAAAGATATTATGAAGAAGATGAAAATTTTTATAAACTGCTTAGTAAAGAGAAAATTCTCAAGAGACGATTATGCACACAATTTATATTAACTACTAAGGATTAAGTCAGCACAATATAGTTTTATGCTATAGTTAACTTCATTTTTTATATACGTTTTATGTTTTTCCTTAAATCTTCTAATTTGATTTTTGGAAAAGGATAGCTTTTTCTGTTTTTCAATTAAAAGGAACCTATATACTGAAATTAGACTTTTACATTTCTTTTATTTTTAATATCAAGAATTTATAATTTTATCAATATATTTTAACTAGATATTTTAACTAGATATTTTAAATAAAAGCTTTAAAATAAGAAGTTCTGTGTTTGCGAAAACTCTTTATGTGTATCAAATATATTGTATGTTGCGCACTTTCAATATCATGAGTATGCTAAAGGTATGGTACCAAATTCAATTCGCATGAAGACTATGGAATCAATTCTTATCCTTTGTGATGCAAAAGTGCAATCGTCATTTATTAAATTTAAAATGTGTATATCCTTTACAGCTGTACAACTGTAAGTTTTTTAATGGTAATTAGCCGGGTTGAAACAGATGGTCTATCGTGCGGGTTATGCAAATGGACGTTTCCCACTCATTGAAATTCCTTATTGAGACCCCTAACGCCATTTGTTGGACACAAGCTGCTCATACGTTCAAAACTAGGAGATTTTACACAAATATGCAGAATTACGAACGAGGCACCTGTACTTTTCATATGCAAATGCTGAATTGAAATATATGTTGCAAGTTTGCAAAGGGCATGAAATGAAGGGATAAGATGATTTCAAACTAAAATAACATAAAGGAAAAAAAAACTTTTTTTTCAAAATTCCAACACAAATCTGGATCCTATATTATAAGTTCGTATGGCCAATGGCTTAATAAAAAATCCTTCAGTAGAAATTGAGAAATGAAAAATACTTTTTAAATAATCTAGGAGATCGTATTTTAAACAATAAAAGCAATAGCACTTCTTTTTATGTTAACTTGAGAAATATATTCTTGTTTTCCCGGCAGAAAAAATATATACAGCTATCTATGCGTGAAATAAATAATTTCAACTCTTCAGAATGACGCTAAAGTAACTAAAAGAACTTTAACTGATAATAATTAAGGATTTTTTATTATGTAAATAAAGTTTTATTCAAGCAAGCACATTTCGATACAGAGACCGCAAAAACAAGGTAAACAGCTGCATTTTCAAACGCTGCAATTCGTACAGTTTTCTTTATAATTACTTCCTCATGAATAAATCTTCCATTTCGGTTAAGCCATGCTTCTTGAATAATTCTTGATAGCAAGTCTAAAAAAATAAAATTCTCAGAGTTAAAGAATTCATATAAAAGCTCACTTCAATTACATTTCGATTACTGGAATTTTTTTGAGAGAAATTAAGGGTAGTTTGTATGATGGATATAGATAAATCTTTCTTTCTTTTAGTTAAGATCTAATGATTTTTTTGCGAGAGATAGTTGTGGCTGCTGGATGCGTTTGGTGAGATACATCTGGTAGGTTTAAGAAGGTGCGAACTTTCAGAAAACGTAAATGTCATGTCTGTCTCTAGATGTCTGCCCGAAACTTTTAGCATCCCCAGTAGTTGTATTGGTCGTAAATGTGCAATATAGTAGAAATTCAAAATACACGTAAAATTATGAATGGTTTCTAGTTTATAGTCGTTGTATATTACGTATAATTTGCAACACCTTCCAGTGGCCGTATTAAGCAGAGGGGGCTAAGAGACAACGCCATCATGCATCCGGCCGAATGGAGCTTCTAAAGCCTAATAACTCTAAAACATTAAATCCATTTTTGTTCTGAAATAAAATTTTTAATATTTGGTTAAAGGGGAAATATTTTATGAAGAATAAAACTTTTAAGTATTCTTTAAAATAAAGTTTTAAGTCATTAAATATTCTATATTAATATTATTTTAAATGTAAAAACAACATTTTCATGGGATATTTTTAACTTCTAAGATAAATTAGCAATATCTTGTTAGAAATGCCATACAATAATTTCCGCCTACATTTTGCATAAAAATGAATTTATAATATGGGTTTAGATTTTCATGAATTCAATTGGTATGCATCGTTCTATTGTGTTAATTCCTTTCAATTAAATATTATCATTTACCTTACCACTTTGGGCAGGGAATTTAATTAAGAAGTACATCTCGAGCATCTACACGCCAATTATGTGTTGGTTTCTTTATTCTTTTTTAATGTGTTTACTTTTGCTCTTTCATTTTGGACATGTTATTTTAAAGTTCTCTCCTTACAATCTTTTAATTTACCAATAAAAGCACCAGTAAGTCACACTTTGAGGTATAGTGATTGTAGTTCTCCGTTTTCAGGAATGAACGTAATTCACCGAAACTTAGTGCCATGTGGAGAAAAAAATTTTGCTCTTTCATTTTGGACATGTTATTTTAAAGTTCTCTCCTTACAATCTGTTAATTTACCAATAAAAGCTCCGGTAAGTCACACTTTGAGGTATAGCGCTTGTAGTTCTCCGTTTTCAAGAATGAACGTAACTCGCCGAAACTTAGTGCCATGGGGAGAAAAAAATTTTGGTAAAATTATTGTGCTGCATGGTTATGAAATTTCTGGTATATAAAACCATAATTCAAGTAATAAAAATCAAAATGGGACTTGGTATTTAAACCACTAATTTATATGTTTTTAAAATATTTCATTAAGAATAAATTTATTGCATATTATTTGCATTTAGTATACATGGAATATTTTGACTAAAATATTTTTTTAAAAATTATATTAAAAAGCTTTCCATTATGTTAGAACAAGCACAACTCGAGAAAAATAACCCAATCTAAAATTTTAAGCAATTTTTTCCTTTTTTTGCTTGCTTTCCAAATTAGATTATGTTGAAAATCATGTTCAAATACATTTAAAATTATAGAACAATTTTTTGCTGAAAAAAGAAATATATACTTACGATTGCTTCGTCTGGTTTATTTTCTTTCTAAAATTAAAGTTTTCTTATTCATTAAACAAGATAGAATAAAAGTTTTTGATTTAAAATGAGAAAAGTAATAGAAATAAACTTAAATTTTGAAAGATTGAATTAGTCCTTAATCCTTAACTTCTACAATACGTACTCTACAATATTTTTAGAGACACAAGAGTGCCTCTCATAGTAACAAAATTCGAGAAATAAGGGATTCTGAAAATACCATGAACATTGTAAGTTTGTATCTGCTCAGCATTTGCGTTATATGACGAGGAAAACTATGAAAATCTCCCATGGGTAGCTCAGCCGCAAAGGGATTCAAACTCGTGATCCATCTGTAGCAGAGGATATTCTTACGTCAGCACTGACTCATTGGGAGACAGACGCTCTATATTCTAGAACACCACCAATTTAATCAATTTGTTAATTTCCGGAAATTTGTTAGCAGTAACTTTGGGTTTTTGTATACCTAAAATTAAACAAGACTGTTGACAGCGCCACATATTTATGATACATTTTGATAATAATGATTCAATGCTTGAGTTGGTGAGGGCCTTAAGTTCAACTCCCCGTTCTTCCATACCGAAACTGGGAGGGCATTCTGTTACGACAAATGTAACGCTCATGTTAGTATAACATGCTTTAGAACTCCTCGTCAGTATTCACAGACTGTACCGAAAACTCCTGTTCTAAGAAAGAAGGGTTTTTTCCCTTTGAGATTTTGTGAAGTAGCGTTTCCTATGCGTACTCAACTATCCGAGTTTTATTTTATTCTATTTTATAAACTGCGTTGAACAGTCAACCTGATTCCGAGATTAAGACTATCAATGCTCAACTACAAGTTCTTGCAATTTTGTTCCCAACCCAGAAGACAAGGAAACTCCTGTATCAAGTATTGGAACAAATTGGACTTTGAGGAATTTTGATGAAACTAACCAGTATTTGCGTAATATTCGAAGTAAAACCAACGGAAAGGAAATTCTAACCATGATCCGTCTACGACTGAGAATATTTTACGTCAGCACTGTGGTCGATATGAGCCGAGAGCAGAATTCATATCAACCGGCCACCACTGGGATTGGAACCAGGGTCACCTCTTTGAGAGGCGAACGCTCTATCTCCTGAGCCAACGCAGCCCTAACTGTCCGAGTTGAAGCACAAGATTACGGAAGTTGCTGCTGGACATCATTGAAGACATGCTGCTAAAAGTGTGGAAAGACATAACCTATAGGTCATGTCGTCTGACATATAGAGCTGTATTAAACACTTATATAACTAGAACGTTACTGCATTTTCTAAGAGAATATCTTTTTGTTCCTACTCACAGTTGCAGTGTGATGAAATATATATATAAATCTGCTATATTGTCTACATGGTACACTAAATAAGAAAAAAATAGATTATCTTTATAACTTTAATCTATAGTATGAAAACCTAGTCTTACTTGCTAAGTAGCTTGTGCGTATAATACTTTTAGTCACAAATAATTATAGACTCAAAATAGTACTTTTTCAGAATAAGAAAGTTTTTTTATAAATGGATTTGGATTTCTGACCATCAATTTATGGAAAACAGATAGCACTTTGGAAATTATAGTTATAATAGTTTAGTCAGAAAGGCGGAGAAATATAGTTGGCTTATTGTTATTTTTCCTTTTTGTGTCATATCTTTAAAGCTGAAAATAATTCAATGTAAAATATAATTTTTTAAAGATATTTCAATACTATTTAAGTAATAATCTGAAAAATATTTAATGATATGGTAAAGAAATTTATAAAAAATCCTTCTAGATTTATAAATTTACAGATACGCTAGTATGAGGAAAATCACTGTTCACAAATACTTACGTCATCTTTAAAACCCTTGCCGTCAATACATTCTTCCAACTATAATAAAAATTACAATAATATTATCTTTAATACACATTAGGTGGTTTAAAATTATTGTTCAAAAATATACATGTATAGGTCAAACGCAATTTAGTTGAATTAGAGTAATTATGTACCAGGAAGAAACTGTGTACTTTAAGGTATACGATGATCAGTATTTTAAAGGGTGTGAAGAACAATAAACCTACTTGACATTTATAAATAATCGATCTCCTACTTTTTAGAAAGTAGTTATAACCCCTATTCTGTAATAAAATACAACATTTTCAGCTTAAAATGAATTAAAATGTTTAGATTTGTTAATAATTAAATAAATGGAGAGTATTGTGTTGTTATAATTCAAATAAATTCAAGAAATTCGCTTCAAAGCTACAAAGTAGATTTAATGAAATTTGGTATTAACATATAGGTGAATACAATGCAAATAAAACACTCAGTTTGGAATTGCGAAATAGTGGTAGCAGAATTGAACCTCTTAGGTGCTTTTTTTGAAGATACAGCTTTTTAGGAGATATTATACCTGCCTCTTACTCATACACAGCGTAATAACGTGATTTTACGGGTGAAGTAATGCAGTTTAGAGTCCCTGGGACTCTAAACTGCATTATTTATTCTTGTCCACCAATGCTGTTTTTTGACCATACGTATTATATGGGAGAGATTGCTAGCTGCATATGCTCTTCCCACAGTCTCTTAATATAGAGATGAGGTGAGGAGACCTGGCCGGTACATTCACCAGGATAATAATTTCACCTTACAGAAAATAATAGATTAGATTAAAATAGATTAGAATAAAATAGATTAGATTAAGATAGATTAGAAAATAATAATATATAGATATTTGTCCAAGAATTGTTTCCCATTAAAAGGGAATCAGGGCTAACTACAAACCCAAAGAAGCAAACATAGGGCTCCAAGATTTAATCTTTACCCCTCAAACCAAGCGAAGTCAACTTCTTAAAAAGGCACGGATGAATGTGCAGATATTCAACAAGAAGCCCTTTTAGATTACCAAATTTCCGCAGTCGTAATGACCGATTTATGGGATATTGGAAAGCATATAATGACTCTTGTTCACCTCCATATGAAAGCAGATAATGACTCTTGAACTCCTCCATATGAAGAGAATTATGAAAAGAATTAGAGGCGGAGATCCTTTACCTGCCTTGAAATATCTGACCGGTGAAAAATGTGATCGTTATTGTTTCTAAAATTTTTAATCAGTAAATTCATATTCAAATGAAGAAACAGATCAACTTCAACGAAATATGACGAATTTCATCAAAATATGACGATCATTTCAGAAAAAAAGGATTTCGAAAAAAGAAAAAGAAAAAAAGGAAACTATTATTCATTTTAAATGCAAAATTGTAAGGGTTTTCTAATTTTCATCCTTAACTTCTTCACACCAACTGTATTAATCAGTTTTGATAATTATAAATATAGATGTGCGCTTTGTCTCACTTAAACGTCACTACACAATCCCTAATATACTTATTATAGTGACTTCCTTTTTTACAATCATTTAAAAATGATGTATTGGTGTCGGTCAAAAGTCCTGTATGCTCAAAACTTTATTTACTTTAATATATTCTGGACGTATTCATAAAAGTTGAAAATGCTAAGGGAATGTAAAATTATTCAGTGAGCTTTATCAGTTATGATACTAAGTCTAAGATTTTTTTCCTCTAAAGAAGAAAATAAAATGTTTGATATTTTAAAAAAGATAATCTATCTGAATTGGCACATACTTTGTCAAAGATAGCTCTATCTTCGCAAGCTTCTTTAGTGAATTGCTTTATGTCGTCACTGGAGGATGGAGAAAGTGTCGTCATGCATTCTTTTGCAGCAGTTTGAATCTTAAAAAGAGGTAAGCATAATTTTTAATATTTGAGTTCAATGAATTGAGTAATAAATCAGATACTTTAAATTGTTAAAAGAAGGAAGTGATTGTTTTACTACGGAAAATCAAATAAAAGTTGATTAAATTTGTTATAGTTGAGTAAAAATTAAAGTGTGCGCACTACACAGTAAAAATTCCGGATTACATTGCGACTTAAAGGTTCTTCTAACAGTAATTTAAGTGTGATTTTTTTTACAGTGAGGTTCAAGGTTTAAATTAGAAAGAATAACTGGTTAGAGCACTGAGAAAATAGGGTCAGAAATATTTAAAGAAAATTCTTTAAATATATCAATATATATAAAGAAAAAAAACAAGTTGAAAAAAGTTTCCTCAAGCAACTGAATTATTCAAATATAGTATTCGAACAAATGAATTAAAAATCTTCTTTGAGATGACATCCGGGCAAAATATCATGACATGCATTTTAGCAGTACTCAATTTAAAAAACACCGACAACACGAAACACCAAAACACCGACAAGAGTCGGCTTCACGACAATGAGGAAAGCTGTCGGTAATTACGGCGGCTGACAATATATATACGGCGGCTGATATAATAGATATATAATATTTTCAATTCTTACTTCTTCGGCTTCCAACACAAAGCACTTTTCAGTACCATCCAAGAGCTCTTCGTCCAATTCTGTAAATTAAACAAAAATAAATAAAAAGCAAATAAATTAAAAGAACAAATAATGAAGAAAGAGGAAAAACAAATGGTACTTATTGCACATTTACGCTGAAATACATTAAAGAATGAAACTGAAAGACTTGTTAAATTAAATAAGCTGGATTTTAAAAATTTATTTTTACATCATTGAATTATTATTTCCATACATTTTGGAGTTTTACTGATGATTATAAGACTTTCCACGAAAAAGAGAGTGCTTCTATTTTAATTGTAAGTTATATTGCATTTTGTAGCGTAGGTTGTTTCCGCATTATTTTTAATTTTATAATAAATTTTTTTCCAAACGTTTCTTAAGCGGCATTAAATGATCTCTGCTCGGTGCTCAAACCGTATGAGATATAATTTTCATTTTATCTTTACCCTCTTAAAACTTTGGTGTTATTTTTAGTACTCGTATTTTATAATTTTATCATTTGTTTTAATTGATACTAGTCTGTGTTGGCACGCATAAATTTCAGTATTTGATTCGAATTTGAGCTTACGCAATTCTAATGTACGTTGCCTTTCGCGTTCCTCTCGTTATTCTTCTCGCGCAAGTTCTTATTGCTATTCCCGTTCTTGTCCTAGTTCAAGTCCTTCTCGCCTAATTCTCTCTGCTATAATTCTAACCTGTAATTCTAGTCTATGATAATTTCGCATCCTCAATCTCTCATTATTTTTACAACCCATAATTATTTCTTTTATTTCACACACACGAGCTTGAAGTGGAATATTTTCACATAGCTTGCCGGCTAGCTCTATGAGATCTGATTTTTCCCCTCTTTATTATTAAAGGACATAATTTTTATAGCAGGATGTCCTAAAATAACTAGGAACGTAGTTTATGAAGTTCATCACTTCTAAAAGTAATCAACAAAATTTGACAAAAAATCTATAACGCTGCCTCCAGTAACAAGTCTGTAGTGTCATAAGTAACAGAAAACGTGAGTTTGATAATCTTGATTTTAAATCTAACATAGATTGAAACGTAGAGATAGGAGGTAAGGCTTATTGAGGAATCCGTTTAAAATAACCGCTCACACATTCACAGAGAAGTGAATTAGGAATTCATGTGTGGCATATGTTGACTCATTTGAACACATATGATTCTTGTAAATAATGAAGACGCTTTCCTTCGAGAAAATTTTCTATTCTGTGAACAACACATCTGATAAAAAATTCGTCTGCACTTCTCACTGCTGCAGAAACAAACGAACAGAAATCAACACAAAGAGTCACACAATCAGTCACTTGCAAGACTTGAACTCTCTGCAAAATGTACAGGTGCAAACAATTTTCTTAAACACTCTTTAAATGATGGCTGTCTCACATGCAGATGATTTGCAATAAGCTCTAACTCCGCTTGCGATCAAGAGGACAACTCTTGCACTTGTGTGAAGTGTTTCACTCACAACAAGATAGATTTTTTCATACTAGGATGCAATACAGTCCTTTATTCACAGCTCTTGGCAGAGGTGGCGGCAAATGAACCATTTACAAATAGGGACCGATGCAATCTCTCGAACATTTTGAGTTTTAGCATACGAAAGCTCGGCTCCTGTGACAATCGTAACTATGACCTATCATTTCAGCAGCGTTATACATTATATACATGTCAGTCTTTTCACCATGCTTAAAACCTCCTATCATACTTGAAATCTCAACCAACAATAATCGCAAAGAACATTATTTCGTTGACGCATCAGACTGCGGTTTGCCCGATTCCCTATCGCCTTCCCTCATTGTATTATTACCAGCCAATCACGGATGTAGTTCGTATTACGGTTAGTGATCATAATTATGAATATTTTTTGTAAATATTGTATTTTTGCAAGGAAGTGCTTTGCGTTTTGTAAATAAGCGCATTTTTATCATGTGTCATTTTCTGCTTCCGTTTTATAACATACCCCTTTAGTACCCAAGATTCCTATATAAAACATACATGATTTATAACACTCAACCGTTCCTCTAAGTTTTTCCCATGGTCGTAGAATAACCCCTATATAAGGAAGATTTTAAGACTCTTGATCAGATATTCCTACAGTGATATTATAGCAATGATTTGATACAACGCAAGTTATGTAGTGTAAAAACCAGCTTAACACAACACCACTTATTCATGATACATAAAATAACAGGTAAAAACAACAAGTTTTTATTTCAAATGTAATTATAGAAAATATTTACAAAAGAAAAAGAAACTTACTGCATAAAGCGTTCTGCCAAATTTCCTTATGATCATTAGCTGCCGCAAAAGAAAGTAAGGCAATTGCAAGAATCAAGCACAGGCTCTTCATCTTTTTCTGTTTTTGTGAAAAGTAAATTGAATTTATTCATAATTCAAGTAAAATGCAATTGTTTTTCAGATTTTTTGAATTTCTTCAAAGAAACATTAATTTTTTAGCGCTCTTGAAAAAAAAATGTGCACGAAGTACTCTCAATTTACATTGCTTATTGCTTGAATTATTTAAAAGGACTAATATAAATCAATCTCAACACAAAATGCATTTTATAAATTTGAAAGGAAACCAAACTGTTTCTAACGATGAATGTTGTCTATAATTAACAAATTGATTAAAAATTCCGGTTCTCCTTAAAAGCATACGCAGCAATAACAACGAAAATGTTTAATCTAGAATTAACAAATTAAGTAACTAATTTCTGTTCCTCAAAAAAACGCAGAAAAGAAGTATTAACAAAAAAAAGGTCTTCACCCGTCGACAAGAATTGACATGTTAACAACTAAATCCGTTTATTTCTTAAAAAACTGCTACAATAATGAAAATCATAAACTCGATATCAAGAATAAAAAAAAAAATCATTCATTTCAAAAACAACAAAAACCATTAAACCAAATTGAGTTTCCACAAGAAAGTTTTTTTTCTATCCTGTAAAAAATTTGTAAATTCTCCAATTTGGTTTTTAACTGAATCCTCAGATATATTTTGCATTTATATACCTTTAAAACAATAGAAGATACCATAATCACCAAGTAAATAAATATTTTCTAGAATAAGTAAAGAAAGATTGATCACTCAGATTGCAGATAACGATGAAGTTTATTTTAACAAATGTAAAATATATATTAGAAACGCTTTATATCCAACAAATTAAAAACCAATGCTTTTCTTCATAAGTAAGAAAGTATTAAAGCACATATTGATTCTAAGCTATTTTAATGTCAATATAACACTTATTTGCCACTAAATGACTGCAAAACATTTTTAGAACCTTCTTCCTTGAAAAAGTAAATTTCTCTGCAGGAAAATAGTTGAAAAAAACTCGATATTTCCATAAGTCATGTTTGAGCCATGGTGGCTCAGGGGATAGAACATCCGCCTTCCAATGAGGTGAACCGGGCTCGAACCCCAGCCCATGATGGCTGTTTAGCTGGTCGAACGAAACGAACTCGCACCAATCCTGCTTGCACTGACAACAGTACTGACGTAAAATATCCACAGTGGTAAACGGATTATGTGTTAGAATCCCCTAGTCCTTAGGCTAACAGTAAGATGTTTTCGTGGTTTTCCTCTCCATGTAACGCAAATGCGAGTTAGTTCCAGCAAAAAGTCCTCCACGAAGGCAAATTTTTTCCAATACTTGATCCAGGAGTTTCTTGTCGTCTGGATTGGGTTCAAAATTATAGGCCACACAGTTGAACATTGGCAGTCGAAAACCCAAAATTGGGTCGACTATTCAATTACGGTTATAAAGTATAAACCATATTAATCGGCATATTAAATCGGAATTGATGTGCTTAGTGGAAATATATTCTAAGATGCATTTTTTAAATGAGATTTCTTGATGTAGAACAATAATTTAGTCCTATTTAATCATGCTGTTTTAGAAGTGAGTGCTTTTAAAGTAAAGGAATGCTTCACGTGCTGTAAACTTAAATCTGCATTTCGAGGGCTTTGTTTGATCACTAAATAGTATATGTAATCAATAGTAGAGACGCTTTAAAAGAAAATTAGGAATTTATGGATTTCGCTAATTTGAAGTTTATGGGCAAAAGATGGAAGAAAAAGGCATAATATTTATTTCCTGCTCTTAAAGCATAAATTTTAAATGTAATACACTTAAATTTACAATAATGTTATTAGAGTCTTCATCCATTTTGCTCTTAAATTGCGATGCAGAGTAGTTTAAAACATCTCGCTTCATCTTTCTTCGCTTCTTTTCTCTTAAAAAAAGAAATTACAAAGTACAAAGCTTTCCGTGAAATAAAGAAAATTTATTTACAAAGCAGCACTTATTACCTTACATAACCATACGTAACTCCCAGAATGAGAGAGAAAAAGCACTCCCGAATAACTCTGATTAATCAATGTCCTCAAATTGAGCAATGTGTAAAATAACTAAAGTGCCGCTTTATTACTTTTGATTTAATACTTAGGTTTTTACTCACCGAAATGCCTCTTTTAAGATTAAAAAAGTACATTAAAGATATTTTAATTGAAAAATAACAAATGAGTTATTAATTTGGAAAACTAGATATAAAACCGATTGTATTTTTAATAAATATTATCTTCTTCCGATGAATCTCGAAAACATTGCTTAAATTGTTAGTCAACATTATTTAAATAGTTAGTGAAGGGACCTGTTTCGCTATATTTTACAGCGAACTGCGTGAATTAAAAAACATCTGAGACAAAATATTATTTGAGTTATTTAAGTAAATATATGCATTATCCTAGTCCTAGTTCATCCTTTTCCTAGTCCATCTTCGTTTTAAAAGCATTGCATAAACTTTGATTTATCTTATTTCATGACGACTTGCCAATTACTTGACGTGATCTAAACACAGATATCAGATTAGATATCAACATTTATAAAAGAAATAATTTATTATTTGTTTTTCAGTGAAGATTCAAATTTCACAATAACAAGAGGTATTTATATTTTTTTTAATTACTTTAAGCAATATATTAGTTACGTTTATCTTTTAGTACACTTTATGCAAAACTATATTAAGCCAACTTAATCGAATATAATCATTAATAAAAAAGGTACTTAAAATTGTAAACTCATATTAGGAATTAACAATTCTCACTATTGTTAAAATGTTGTCTACATCTTGTTGTAATGTTGTTAAAACAAATAAACACCGAAACCGAAAATCAGGAATTTATTGGACATAATCGAGCAGGAAAGTTTCAATACTACTGGAACTCCATTTCTTTTTACTTCGAAAAATTTATTTGGTAACTGTAATTGATATTGCTTAAACATAAATGTAGTATATTTTGAAACAAGGAATATAGAAATATAGTTTTCCTTTCAAAAATATAAGTTTTGAAAGTAATAATTTTTAACGAAGTTTAATTTTTTTTAAAAGTAAGTACATTTATTTTATATTAAATAAATTTATATCTGACTGAATTACAAACTCTAAACGCTTTAGAATACATCTTAAAAGATAACTAAAAATCATAAGTTTCGTACAATATCAAAAGGGAAACTTTCTTCAAAATGTATTTACTCTTACGCACAAAATAATAAAAATTAAGTAAAAAATAAAAACAAAAATAAATACAAGTTCTACTGTAATAAAAATTCTTGTTATTAAAGTAGTTGCAGTCATAATAATATTACAAATAATTATTTTATGTGCTATCAAGTATGAGCTATCAAGAGAGTGTAAATATTATTAATATTTATTTGCTTATACAGCAGGGATGGGCAAACTTTTTTGGTCGAGGGGCCAAAAATCAAGAAAAAAAATGCTTGGTGGGCCAAGTAAAAGCTTCAAAATTTAAGAAAAAAAGGTGATATACAAGTTTTAATTTAAATATTTAGTGAGATGAAGGAAATTGCGATTTCATTTTTAAAAGTTCCTTACATTAAGGTTGGAAGTGAGATGTGCTTATTTTAAGGAACAAGGCTAAATGCTTTGCTGTTAGTCTACTTCTGAAATGATATTTTCTAAGGTTCATAGATGAAAACACTTGTTCACATATATAAGATGAAGCATACATGCACTGATTTTCTGAGCATGAACGGAAACTTGTTTTTTGTATTGATTTGTAAAACTTTGGAATATTTAGAAACGACTGCTTCAGATGATTGTTAAATTGTCCGCTCTTTGGAGCGTAAAATGCGCAGTCTGCCAAATTTGAAGTGCAATTTACCTATATTAGATTCCATAAGTCAGCTCCTCAAGAGAGACAAGCGCTAGTTGCAGCCAATCTACGACTATTCTATAAAGAACCTCTGCTTTCAACATTTTACCAATTGAAGCTGTCTGAGCTAACTATTTCCATCAATTTATGTTTTGTAGAACAAAAATAGAGAAAGCAAAAACTTCATCGGTACTTTGTTGAAAAAGGAAAAACAGAAATAATTTTAAACATAGTCGACAAGAAAATGGATGTATATTGTTTATATTTGCCACTGATCGGCAAATAAAAATTCTATCCGCGGGCCGGATAAAATCTTCCAGAGGGCCACAGTTGGCCCGCGGGCCGTAGTTTGCCCATCCCTGTTATACAGCATTAATATATTTGATTTTCTTAACTACTATTAAATGCTCAATTCTAGAATTAGAATTTAAATATATCTATTATGTATGGTGCCCCGTAAAGTTCACTCGAAACTTCTAGGGGAAGTAGGTCACATTGTAAGGATTGAGAATTACTTCGGAAACTATTACCAGAAATGATATCGTATGCCGCTACGGGCGTTTTCCTATTATGAACTGATACATCGTGTTCCTTTAAACATCGGGTACTTTTATTTACATAACTACCGTAATTTTTTGTATTCTATAAATTATTGTCAAAAACTGCTTGTTAGAAAGTACAGTATTAGCTGTTTTATCGCAATTCAATCAATTAGCAACTAACTGGACAAGCTCGCCGAGTCATTAAACTACGATAAAACAGCATTTTTGAGCCCATTTTAATCGAACTCTTGACAATAACGAATGGTGACTCAAAGTTGATATGAGATTAAAATATTCTTGAAAAGTAAAAATAAAATTCTAAGGCACACGAACTATATGTCGATTATAGAAAAGCGCCCCTAGCAGCGTAAGATGACATTTCCGTTTCTGGTTTCCTAGGTAATTCTTAATTCCTATGATGTGCCCTACTTCTCATAGAATTTGTCGCAACATTAACGGGCCATCCTGTATACTTTCACTAAAAATTTACTTAAGTCTCAATTAAAACAAAGCATAAATGTTTAAATATATTATGAAAAAAAATTTGAAATAATTTAAAAATTATTTTCAAACATTAAAAAAAAGGAACTTTATATAATGCTGCCAGAACTACATGAAAATGTGCACTAATCAAAAATCTGTAATATGATTAAAAAAACATATAATTCACTGAGAAAAAAAATAGTGTCAAAACTATAGCAATATGGATAAATTTACTATGTTTCTGGTTCTATGGGGACACCAAAAAGCTGGGACTATTTTTACTGAGTAGCTATGAAGTAAAATTAGTAATCAAATAGGGTCACATAAAATGTGATAAAATTTGATAATTTAATCATGCCTTAAAACATGGCATGAAAGCCATTTTTTGGTAAAATTAGCGTTTCAGTTTTCTATTTTTTACTATATGTGTGGTAATATTAGCAATAATTTTGAAAACCAGAACTTCCTCTAAATCGTTACCATATAAATTTAAAAATTATCAAATAAAAGATTTAAATAATTTATATATATTGGTTTTTTACCAAAATTATTATTATTTTACCCAAAAATTTTAGTAACATGCAGTACGATAATTTTACAAGAATTTTTTTCTCCGTGTATGATTGAAGCTTAAAATATGTAATTTAGTTTGAAACGAATTGAAATAGCAATCTTGAAAGGAAATGAAAAAATATATTCAAAGTAAAAAGACGGTAGAACCAATGAACTTATAATATAAAAGTTATAGAATAAAAGTTTTAAAAAATTCTGAATATTTTTTTTTTGTGTGCCAATGGAAAAGGATTTTAAGTTATGTGATAATTTTGTTATCTCTTATTTGTGAAAATTGAGGGCAGAAAAACGTAGTTTTAAATTTTACTTCAATTTTTTTTTAAAAAATGCTTTATTTTACAAATAAACCTTTTTTTCTTATTTTTCTCTTCCGAAAATATTATAATTGCGTTATAGGAACTTGTAGATTTATTCTAATGAAATGTACGAAATCTGAAAAAAGAATAAAATTTGAAATTATTACTGATAAAGTAATAACTGTATTCAGGTATGTAATTTTTAGACAAGTTTTTAATACGTTATAATACAGTTATAAAAATTGTCATTTTCAAAATAAAAAATGTAGATACTTACTCAGTTATTTTGACAAAACTGAGGAAAAAGGGAAAATGTTTATTGCGTTTTATAGAGTTTTAGTTTTGAATACTACTGTGATGTATACAATGTATTCATAAAAAAATATCACAATGTAGAATTGTTTAAGCTTTTTAAATTAAAGTGTCATCTCCCAATGAAAGACTTGCATTTTTCAAAAAGAATAGAAATCTGACAACTTTTACATTCAATCGGTTTGACCTTAAAAATGATTGCCACTTTATTACTGTAATTCATGCGATTTTCAGTAATTTATACAATTTTCACTAAATTATAAGCAGGTTAGAATTTAGTAAACGAAATAAAGCAATTGCATTAATTTTTTTTAATATCCTTGAATTGAGACACGCAATACGGTAGAAAATCATTCGTGTTTGCTAAAAGCAATTCTATCCTTTACATTTTATTTTCAAAAATATAATTCTTTATTGCGCATTTAATTAGATATGATGATTGAATGTCTTCAAATTAATTTATTCTTAATGGTTATTTTATTAGTGATTATTTAATTTTTAAATTTTAATTTATTATTGTTTTTTCTTTTGATATCAATTAAAACAATTTTTAATTTCAGTTCAATCTATTTGTTGAAAAACGCTCAGCACAAAGTTTTAAATAAAAACACAATTGTTCTTTTAGTTTTGAGGAAATGAACTAAAAACAGTTCGTAAACTCTTGAAGAGTTTGACAAGCAAGTAAAAAACTTCAAAAACTTTCTCTAATAGTTAGCATTATAATGAATAAGTTATTCCTAAATAATAGTTAATTCCAAAAACATTTTACTTTGAAACGTTTTTTGAGTGCACAGATCTGTGATATATATGCGAACACTATAAAACAAATAAAATTATTCATTTGCTTTTGGGTTAAAGATATCTGTTTTTGTGTTGCGAAATATTATTTATGATTATTACTTAAATCAAGTATCTTATTAAATACAAACTTTTACTAAGCGTTTCCAAAACACATATTGTGTAGCTTATAGCATACAGCAGTATGAATTTTTATAATTTCATTTCTGATAACGGTTCTGAAAACACGCATTAAAAAAATAGTCATTACAGATTATTTTGTCATAATAGTTAATATCACACACAGTAAAAAATTCCGGATCAAATTACAGTATAAAGTACTGGAACTTAGGGTGCAAGTTCCGAAAAATCCTCTTTATAGTAAAATCTATTTTTACCCTAAAACATTATATAAACATTTATAACAATATTTATTTAATTAGATTCAATCAGTAATTTTTTGGTAATTATTACAGTAAAAATTGAAATTTGTTAACTTTTATGCTTCGTAACATATATCGATAAAATGAATTTTATGGTAAAATGAATTTTACGGGACCCTGAATGTCTGTTTATCAAAGAGGGGCCAAAAAAATGCGTACAAGGTCACAGATAGAAAGGTTATAGGTAAATATTACTCGTAACAGAAATTAAAGTCAGCAATAATAAAAGTTTTACTGAAAATACGAAAATACGAGTGAAGAAAAATTTCTCAAAAGCAACGTTTTGTGTGAAAATTCCCACACTGAATCATCGATGACTGTTGCCTTGTAATTGTCCGATTGACATAAAATTTTGAGCAAACCTTTTTATTTTTTATATTTTCATAATTAGAACAAAAGGTATCCAATATACAAAATCAAATCAATATACAAAACTAAGACTTTTTCACAAAATTATAAAAGAAATCAATATACAAAACTTTTAAAAATTTGAAAAACTAGAGTGATTGTGTGTTTTACAAGTGTGTTTTAGTTCAAGATTGGTTGAGTTCCCTATCTCTTTCGAATAAAATAGGGGTACCACATATAAGAGAGTCTTATAGTAAGCACCTTTCATGCACTTCTGCCATCTGTTTTGCAATTGTGAAACAATATGAACTAAAGATAAATTGAATCAATTGTTTCGAATCAATTTAACTGTTTTGGCTTTAAATAATTGTTTTGAATCAGTTGTTGATGTTGAATCAGTAAATGATTAGAATCAACATGTCATTTGAATCTATGATCCAAATCATTGATTTTCATCACTTAAGTCAAATATGTGACTCAATTGATTTGAATCACCATGATGATTTGTTTTGTTTAAGTTTACAGGCTGTGGTAAAATATAAAGGAACAATTGTTAGTCTGTTTTCCAATAATTTTCCTTTTAAGCATAAAAAATAACATAATGGAGAAAATTAAATAATTTGTAATGCTAAGAATGTAGGTAGCATTCAATAATTTTAACTTATATTTTAAATTTTTAACTATTCTGTCTTAATAAATAAAGGAAAAATGTATTTTTATGTCAACCTTTCCCTATTTTTCTTACGAAGTAAACCTTTTTATAAGTACTTTATAAGAAACTTAAAATAAGTTAATTTACCTCACAGATACTCGCAACAATTGTTAAAATGCAATTATCTATTTATAGCAACTATTACAAAGGTAAAAGAAAGCCTTAATTTTAAGAAATCTTTTTATTTTTTTCATCGCATAAATACCGCCTTTAAAACAAGTTATTTTCAAGAAATTGTTTTGTACCAGATTGAGAATTTCTTGAGTTTATACCAAACAGTTTTTTTAGTAATTTATGTAGGAAATCACCGTAAAAAAAGCCTATTTATTTTTGCGACAGCTGTAATGGCTATAATAGAATCGGAAAATGTAACTAAATTAGTTTTTCAACCTCTTCAACTATTTCGATTACTCTACAGCGGCATAGCACTTCTGTATATAAGGAAATTTACCGACACATAAATGTTATCACTTTTTTTGAATTACCAAAAGCGCAATAAAACAATGTAACAATGCGACAACAATTTTAACGGACAAGGAAATTGTATATACAACTTGTCAAGCTTATATTTTTTCTGAATACACGCTCTGTCTTTGTAGGTTGACACTTCAATTTAAAAAGTAGCTACACGATGCCAGTTCCAAACGTCATTTTTTAATTTGGCCATTTTTAAAATACAAAGCGAAAATAAAACACTATAAAACATATTGAATTTTTCTCTCTTTTCTTTCTCTCCATTTTCACCTGAACAACTGAGTAAGTGTCTGCAAATTTTTTCATACTTCAAAATGTGTTAATAAATTAAAAAAATAAAATGCAAGGAACGATCCTCCACAGGACTAAGGGACAATCACCCGCGTTTCAAAATATTTCAACTTTGCTTTTGAGATTGAGATTTTATTATTATATCGGAAATAGATAAAACCTGTTTCCGAAATAAATTTATAGAATCTTAATACATATCCATATTATATCAGAAATATACTGTCGAATTAATTTTTTTTTTTGAGAATGAGACATTAATCTTAATAGCATTTGTGTCCTATTATTTTGAAATTTAGTATCGATTAAACTCGACTTTTGAAATTGAGATTTTAAATACTTTTTCCACGTTATGTTGGAATATACTTTCAAATAAATTTTATTTTTAAGATTGGAATTTTAAACTTAAAAAAATTCCTGTCTTATCATCTCAGAAATATAGTATCGAATAAACTAGGCTTTTGAAATAGGGATTTTAAGTATTTTTTAAAAAAAATTATATTGGAAATATACGATCAAATAAATTTGATTTTTTGAGATAGAGATTTTAATCTGAATACGGTTTCTGCCTTATTATCTCAGAAATATAGTTTCCAATAAAGCGTTTAAGAATTGAGATTATTGAGTTTAAGAATTTAACGTGACCAATTGTTTTGTCCTATTATGTCGGAAATATATACACTAATAAATTTGGTTTTTCAGATCAAGATTTTAATCTCAATAATTTCTGTCATATTGTCTCTGAAATATACTATATAATAAATCTGTTTTTTTGTTATTAAGATTTTTATACCACAAGATTTTCTATCGTGCTATCTAGGAAATATAGTGACTGAAGCACTTGATTTTTGAGATTCAGATTTAATGCTCAATAAATTCTGTCACACAATCTCGGGTAAATAGTATGTAATAAATTTGAGTTTTGAGATTTTGTTAGAGTGATGAAAAAGGCTCATTTAAAAATTATGAAAGATTATCTGTGATTCATGCACATTCTCGACATGCATAGACAATTAGACCCATAACTGTGCTATAACAAAAAAGAGATTTTAATATAATTATATAAAGGTAAGGAACCAATCTAGGATTAGGTTTTGAATGAGTTGCATTTAAAGAGATTTTTGCATGAAATTAAACTTGCAATCTGTTGTCATTACAACTTCTCTCTTAATAAGTCTCTTAATAAGTTAAAGATTTTATTTATGAGAAAGTGTTGCTATTACTGTTTCCAATGACACTTGGACAAGCCAAGCTGTTTAGCCAATGTTTTTTGCAAATTAAGTTGGAAAGGCGCACCTTTCGTTTGACACGAAAGAACTACAAAAGGGCAAGTACGTCTTAATTCAAAACCCCACTGAGAGATGACAGTAGTATTCATTCGAGTGACCACTTCCTCAATTTAGAAGTAGATCTAGGTATTACTCAGAGACCGACCGAAGGACTTTCGATTCTATAGATTTTACGATCACGTATATTGATTGTACTCGGTGGGTCTCAAAGGGGTCGAGGATCAAACCCCTGCCATTTGAACCAGAATTCATTGTATAACCAATGAGCTAAAATTGTCTGGAAAAAGAAATATAAATAAAAAAAATATATTTTTTCAATTTTTCAACTACTTCAAAATTGAATTTTTGATTATCAAAATGAAATAATTACTTTTTCTTTTAACTATAATGAATGTCTTGCAGAATAATTCAAAATGAAGTTCTTGGGTCTGATTCTTGTCATTTCCATCTGGACTTATGCAGTGGCAGATGAAGCAGGGGATGAGTGGAAGGCAGCATTATGCAGTAGGTTAAATTTTTTCACGAAACATTTAGTTGAGTGCAGGACTGCGAATAAACTTTTTTCCCTGAATAGCTTTAATTATTATTTGCTTCTATGTAATTACGTTTAAAAGTATAATAATGTATTCATGATAACATAGTACAATTGTAGTTGCTTGTTTCATTATGCCTGTGATGGAATAAGCTTAAAGTGCTTAATCTAAACTTCATAGAAGCAAGAATGTCTTGTCCTTGAATAGTCCAAATGTTGTAACAACTTTCCCAATTTCCCCCAC